GCTGAATATACAGGCAAATTTTATTGGCTGCATGGAAATTCTCGTGCTTTTCACCAAAAAGGATCTTTTTAAGAATTTGTATGTGGCTTATCATTATACGAGGTAAATTAAATGTGATTTGTATGATTTCGAAATGGCATTTAGAGAGCCATTTTGAAACCATTGAAATGCGTTATTCGCTAAAGTCAATATTAATTTTATTTATTCTTCTTCGGTTTAATAAAATCACCTCCTACAATTATTTATGGAAACCAGCAATTTAAATATTAAAATTTAAATAACTTTTTTGTTTAATTATCCAGAATTTTTTTTAAAATTTCAAATATCGGTAACTTAGAGAAGAACTAATATTAGAGATTTAAATTTCTCCAAGATTTAAATTCCTTTAGGGGTAAATTTAATAGAAAGCTAAAGAGGCGAAACTCTTAAGATTAATATTAAATGGATCTGGTAAAGTGTTTACTTTAATTACAGCAAGATGCTTTAATGCAAATGGCTCAAATTAAACTGTCCTAAATGAAAGCCTTAACTGCTTTTGCAGTTTCTTTCTGCGTTGACTTCCCTCACAAATGTGCTTAATTAAGATTTAAAACTTCTTCGTGTTGTCTTAAGGCTAATCTCACCTAGGCACAAGTTTGAAATCTTCGTGGCCAAACTTACAGCTATTTATTTCAATTTCTGAGAAATTCTAAACCTTTGAAACATACCAAATTGGCGCGGTTATTGGTAATTTTTAAAGGAAATAAAAGTGTGTAGCTTAAGGAATAGTTTGAAAAAAATAATAAAAATACTGTTCTTTTTAATAAAAATATTCTATTGCAATCGTATTATAAAAGAGATAAAATAATTTTTTTATTTTATCAAAAAGTTTTATATTTATCTTAAATAATTGCTTTCATATGAACTCTAATCTTTTTTATTTCTAAATCGGAAATCTCCTTACGGTACTTAATTTAAATGAAATTTATTTTTAGATTAGTACAAATTCTAATGACTTTTTACCATTTTTGTTTCGTAAGTTCTTTATTTGATTTTGCACTTATTTCGAATTAATTTCTCACCTTGAATGCATAATTTTGTATTACTTTTACTTAAAATTTATTTCAGTTCAACTACACTTAAAAATTGAGATGGTCTTATAACAGTGTTTTTGATATTTTGTGCTTTTTTGAACTGAAAAAGTACCTAACCTAGTGCTTCGAAGACTTTGTGCTATGATTGATGACATCTTACCACAATTGTTTTCTTTAATTACATGACATCTAACAATAACTGGAATAAAGATAGTATTTCGAGTAAAGATAGATAGAAAATATTTCTCCATTGTCGAGAGCAGTGCTTAGTTGTCATTTCCGTAATTGCAGATACGTGTTCATCTGCAAAATTGTCAATTGATTTTCTTTTCTTTGTTGTCGAAGTATGGGATTCTTATGTTGTTGACATATGCGGTTTATATTTTAGTATTATTATCGAAAGGGTAATTTATTACTCAGTTTTATGTTATTATAAACGTAAAATGTTTATAAATTTGCCGTTTTTTTTCATTTTAAATATGAGGGTATTTAAGAATATTGCAATTTATGTAACGATCTTATCTTGCTTAGATGTCGAATAGTTAAGAGCGAAATCAAGCGTCACTGCCTGCGATTAGTAAGCGGATGGGTGACCCATTTGATCAGCCTAAGTAGGGACCGAGGGTGCGCGGTATCCATCCTTGTTAAACTGTACTACCGTAAAGTGCTCGACTTCACGCGCAGGTCGTCGGTTTAACAAAGCGAAGGAGCCTTCTCCTCTGCAGAGGATCAAAATTGTGATGGGATGTCCTTAGACCATCCTCAGGGATGCTTACAAGACCGTCGCCAATAGCCCATTGTGCAGCGCTAGAGCGCCGTAAACAAAATAGCTGCCTAACTCGAATAGTTGAGTTTTAGTTTTTCTCTTGTAGTGCCACTGCCCTGTATACATTTGCCCGGTATACCTTACACTGATGTTTTTTTAAGAATAAGTTAGCCGGTATACCAACAGTTTCGTGGCAAGCGTGTCATTTTGATGTTGAAGACATTTTTCAAATTCGTGCCAAGCGTGTAACGTATACTAGGATTCTAACAAATATTATTAATCAGGATTTTTAATTAAATCTTTGCAAAATCGTATGAAAAATTAAAACTTATATCATTAATATTTTTATAACTTATGTTCTTAGCATTCACTTAAGCAATTTTTACTTGTTTGTTATAATAGTAAAATCAATTAAAATATTAAAAGTAATCAAAATAATTAGAAAAAAATCTTGTCTCATTTGAAAACAACTACTGCATTGTGTTTAAATAAATTTCAAATGCACAATGCCATTCTTTGTAATATCAAAATCCAGTTTGTTTTTTAAGGAGGCTAATGGTGTTTAATGCCTATATTATATTGTTTAGACAAAACAAATCAGACCTTTTTTTCTGGCAAAAAGACACCAAATAAACAATATAAACACAAAGTTCTTTGCAACATCGATATATCAATTAAGTTGAGTTCCTAAATAAGATTTCGCTCATTCATTCATTGCCAAGGCAACCAGATCACATTTCGTAAAGTAGAAATTTCATATGTTATCTACTAAAGGATCAGTAAGTATCAGTTTATTTTTTTTCTGTTCTTTGTTTATTTTATTTTGTAGCAGTGAGCAATCCTGGTGTATATAGACAGTTACAAGTCCAGCCTTGTCAATATATATATATATATCTACTAAATTTATGCTACTGCCGTTATCATCTTAAAAACCTGGCATCACTTGAGAAAACTATAGTACACTAGTGGGTTCCTGCCCACTGTGTAGTTCCAGCAGAGGAGAAAGCCGATTTTCTGGTTAGAAGGGTTCTTTAATTATGCAAAAATTTTTCGCCCTATGCCCATCCATGCTAATAAAAATCTTATTGAAATATCTATTAAAGCTCGTTCTCAGGAAGACCTCTATAACCGTGTTTCCCAAAAAATCCTAGAAGATTACCATCCCAAATTTGTGTAATGGCCCAATGCGTAGAGCAGTGGCTGAATTCTGCCTGGCTACCACACATGACTGCTTAAGAAACCATCCTTATAGACTCGAAATTGTTTCTTTCCCGATATGCACTCTGTGTAGTTCTGGAGATGTTATGGACTCTGCGCATCTACTCCACAGTTCTGCTCAGGGCAAGACTTTTCTCGTCGAGCGTTATTGGGAGGCTAGAGATATGTTAGATTAATAAGCTCTGTTTCAGCATTTTTTGTTGTACTCTTTATTCTTTATTGTTTTCTGCAGTAACTGTTCATAATCAGCCATTATAAATAAAAATAAATTTGGATTAAATTACCTTTAAGTAAAAGTGTTTCAAAGTTGGGTACTCATATTGTTTGATTTGGGTAATTAATTTTGGAGATATATTGACAAACTCTTACGATATAGCAAGCTAAGTTTATTGCAAGCTGCCACTAGAGATCGAGCTCAAGCTCTTCGCAATGACAAACCAGTGCCTTAAGCACTGAGTCATAGCCACTCCTTTTAATACCACTAAGTGATGTCTATGGCCCCTTCGAAAATCAGAAGTTAATCTTCAAAAGTTCTCTGTTTGTGCTTAAAAAAAAAAATTTGTTTATAGAATTTTTTACATGTGTATTTGCGAAAAGCGAGTATCCTGTCATAAGCCAAAACAGCAATATTTTGCAATTGAGATCTGTCAAAAGATAATAGAACTCTTAAGATTAGGCACTTTTAAAGATAAAATGGAACAAATTGATTAAATTTATATTTCATCGGAGAGGTTATTTGAAAGTACCTCTCTGTAATTTTTATTTTTTAAGTAACTGTCGTCATAGCCTCCAAAAACTTAAAAAAACAATCTCAAACCTCGTTTTTCACAGAAAATAAATCACAGTGTTATTGATGTCAAAATTAGTTTTTGAAATAATAATAAATTAATGTTGAAGTTTTTCAGTGCGCTAAGTAATTAAATGTGGGAAAACTTGCACCAGTCATGTAACTCTTTTAAATATGATATTTTGCAACTACCTACTCACATATTTACAGATGGACAATCAGCCTAACATTTTTTTCAAGTTTCCTATTAATTTTAGAGTAATTAAACTTTAAAATTGGGTTCATATACAAACGAAAATCTTTCTATTACAGCAACTTGATTTGTTACTTCATCATATTGTGGATAGTACAAATACGACAAAATAATGAAAATTATTGTACAACAATACAAAGCAAGTAGAAAAAACTAATTAAAAGCAGCTATGAAATTTGTTATAGTGCATTTGACTGTTAGTAAGCAAACATGGGGAAAAAGAATTAATGAAATGAGCTATATGATATAAAATGGACCGCGGCAGTTTCTGAGGTTAGAGAGTAATCGAAGTAATCTCCAAGTGTTTTTTTTTCTTATTTCTTTTTTTGTAAACTGTTTAACTTATTAAATTATTTTAGTACGCAGAGCAGTAACATACATTTTTAATAAAAATTAATTTTGATAATTCTTAATAATAAGAGTAATACAAAAATAATAACGAAGTTTTAAACAGGTTCCATTTATTGCACTCTGTGTTAATTTTACAGGCATACATTCAGTTTTAATAAATAAAGAAAGAATTCACAATTAAAGATGGTAAAATTAGGTTGGTCTACTTTAAGTCACTCAATAGTGCATTGTCCATTTTAAGTTACACAATTGTGCATAGTCCATTTTAAGTCACACGATTGTGCATAGTCCATTTTAAGTCACACAATTGTGCATTGTCCATTTTAAGTCACACGATTGTGCATTGTCCATTATAAGTCACACAATTATGCATTGTCCATTTTAAGTCACACGAATGTGCATTGTCCATTATAAGTCACACAATTGTGCATTGTCCATTTTAAGTCACACAATTTTGCATTGTCCATTAAAGTTACACAATTGTGCATAGTCCATTTTAAGTCACACAATTTTGCATTGTCTATTTTAAGTAGCACGATTGTGCATTGTCCATTATTAGTCAAACAATTGTGCATAGTCCATTTTAAGTCACACAATTGTACATTGTCCATTTTAAGTCAGGCAATTGTGCATTGTGCATTTTAAGAGTCACACAATTGGGCAACATAGTCTTAGTTGAGAGTCACAGTTGCAGATCAAGTCACGCAGTTAAGAAAGAATTATTTCCGTTAGAAACACCCAGAAAATAGGCGTCTCACAAGGTTGCGGAAGCTTTTCTTCTCTCTCTTTCTTGCCAATTCTCTTTTCTCAGCAAAATCTGGGTTTTGGGCTAATTTTTCCTCCAGATTTTTTGTCAAAAGAGAAATATCTCCACACCTGTAAGAATTCATCCATTTATTAATTATGTAAATTAGTATTTTCATTAAAGATACGCATTAAATGCCTCACTTTGCATTGTTTGGGTATTAACTTATGAATATTTAAAAAGAGAAGATAAATTACTATAAATTAATATTTGCTTCCAGCAAATGGGCAAATTGGTCTTTTTTTCTATGAAAAAATATTCATAAACATAAATCTCTCGTTTTGTATGAATGAATATGTAAATGACAGGCATAAGTATATAAATCTGAATACATAATATTAAATTATTACAATTATTATATATTCATCGATATGAATATATAAGTATGAATACATGATATTAATTTATTATAATTATTATGCATACATTGATATGAATAAATAAATATTAAAGGCATAACGACTCAATTTCATATTAAATAAGACAAATCGTAGTCAATGCTTCGATCAACCTTACAAAATAAAGTAAAACAATCGAAATTACTTTATAAAATCAAATCAAGAGAAATTTTAGAAAAATATCATTCTTGGTTAGACAATATATCAAATACAAACAACGAAAAAATGTATTTTTATTACTTTAACATATAAATAAATAGCGTCAATAATTTTAACAACAATTCTGTTTTTCTCTAAAGTTTTGCACACAATGTCTGTTTATGTTACTTAAAAACGTATTTAATTACTATCTATTATTATTCAGTTTAAGGAGAAGACGTAGAATGAAATAAATATGTTATAACATATATTTTTAAAGCACATAGTATCTTATTATTGATTTAAATTGACATTAAGGGAAATGAACTTATTTAAATAAGATCGATAGCAATTAATATATACCTCTTTAATCCAACTACAATGTCCACTGACTCCTTCACTTTATTAGCCTTGGCCAGAATTATCTTTTCCCTCGAATCAATCTCGAAGTAATAATGGCCACTATCACTACTGAAATTAAAGAAGAAAATTAGTAAAAATAATTTAATATTAAAATTTAGGTACTTTAAGCTAAAAAGAGAAGAAATAAAAACTTGAACGCATTATTAACTTTTGATTTAAGGATCGGATTTTCATGAGTTGTGTGACTTTCCTCAAATATGCTAAAATATCTTTTCAGGCATAAGGTTATGAAATCAGATATAAAAAGATTTCAGATTTCAGATCAGATATTTAGATTCATTTCTTGTGACGGAATAGGAACCTTTATTTTCATAAGAGGGAATGTTGCAATTTTAGTAAGTTTATTCAAGAGTTATTCTATGCAAAATATTTTTTTTTAAAATTAGTTATTACTTTTAAAAACACAAATGGTTTAAACTTTTTGAATTTTTTCTTGAAGCAAATTTTTAACGAAATTTCTTCTAAGAGATGTTAAAAGACAAAACACAGAAATTGAAAGAATTAATTGAATAGCTCTTGAAAAATAAAAATTTAAAAATATGAACTATTTGAGATAGCAAAATTTGCAAGAAGTAAAACTAACTTTAATGTGTAAAAGCTCTCAACAGCTCTTTTGATCGAAGAAAAACTGATCTATTGAGACCATGTTTTTTAGATTGTGGTTACAGTCCCTATTTTGGATAATAAAGTAGATAAATTGATAAAACATTCCTATATAAGAAATATATTTACGTGAAACGGAATTAAATTCAATAAATAAAATAAAATTATGAGCATTTATGGACAGTAAGAAGGAGTTAAATAAAACTACGTAAGTGTAGAAAATCGGATATTGAATTTTGGATTAAAATACTGCTACTATTTAACAGAAATCTCATGAAAATGGATGCGGAAAATATCCATTCTATTAGAATATGAGTGAAATAGAATGTAGGTAATCTGTTTCTGGAAGAAAATACAGTCAGACCTCTATTTAACGATCTTCCATTTTGCGAATTTTCTATTTTGCGATTTTTTTCCAAGGAACCAAGAACATTTTGGAAATTTCTTTGTTAAATAATTTCCAAATAGCGAAGTGAATTTTCTATTTAACGAACTTTTCTTTGATATCCACTTTCCCTATTTCCCAAAATATTTCAAATTTGTTAATGCATTTTATTGGGGAAATGATTTTTAATTGATTTTCGAAGCCAACTTTTAGAGAAAGTAGTAAAATCCCTTTCCCTTTTTGTTTACATTTCAAACGAAACACTCAGACAAAATTAACGTATTTTATCAGTAGCAGTTAAACTTAAGAATGCATGTGGCAATATGTGTTTAAAATTACTTTCATAACAAAAGAAACTATAATTTTAGCTTTTTTTTAGTTGAAAATGTATGTAGCATGATAGTGTAACAATGGATAATGTTTTGCTCTACCATTGCTTTCCATGCAGATTTCTTTTATGGTTAAGATTTGTAAAATAAATAGTGAATACGAGTTAACAAGATAAAGATGTATCAATTTATATTTAAATTATGTCTAGTGTTTATGAATTTAAAACTTGCTTTGTGTTGTTTAAGTATTTCAAAAGGTGATTTTCAAACAAATTTTCCATATACCGACCTTATTATCGGGATTCAGCGACTTCGTTAAATGGAGGTCCTACTGTAATTCAAAGAATTCGAATAAAATAAAATTAGGATGTCGGGCCTTAAAAATTTAAATCTGGTGTTTTAACTAATTGATGTAAGTTTATGTAAGTTTAATATACGATTCTAATTACCCATCCGTAGCAACAATCTCTTTATCAAGAATCATTTCTGACTCTTTAGGCTCAATATCAGCCTGCAATTCCTCCATTTTCTCGCTAAAAATAATAAAAAAGAAATTAGTTCATTGAATAATTATCTCAAGATTAACAAACACCATCCCTGTTAAAATGAGTTTCGCAAATGAGTGAAAAAATGATATGAAATAGATCCAAAAAATATATAATTGAAATTGAAACCTCCACCTATAGTTCAAAAAAACAGCTCTGAGAACTCTTCTTCATTTTTAAACAAACATGGCGGTTAAGTAGAAAAGTGTTGATTACCAATCTAAAGACAATTTTTACTCGTGAAATATATTTAGAATGTAGGTAAGTGCAGGAAGTTACTAACAAATTAGATTTTTTCTTCAATTATTCAAGCGTTATAAACTAATAAAATTTAATTTTTGCCTCATTTGATGATGATGTGACATTTTGCCACGATGCATCAAAATAAATATACACGCCATTTCAGTTTTGAGTATGCCACTTTTCCTTGTATTGAATGCGTGAGTTTTAAAATTCGACTATATTTATTTCGGAGTGAGAAATAATTTTTTTCAGCAGTATTTGCCTGAAATATTTAAGTATCAAAAAGTTAAATTATTAGTTTTTTTTAAACCATTTCATACATTTTTCGCATTAATTTTTTGTAATTGATTTAGGTCTCATCAGAACAAATTCCTTTATTTTGTAATTTTTAAATAAATTCTAAATATATATTTCTATTTATTCCACTACGAAAGTTTACATTCAAAAAAGTAGCATGTGCTTCTAATAATTACGAAGTGTATAAAATTTTGTTAAAAAAATTAATCTCAATAATATTAAAACTATTTAAATTACCTATTCTCTATAGCAACATCTTCATCATCAGTTGATGATGACACTTTTGGCTCTATTTCAGCCCTCAACTCAACCAACTCATCTCTAAAGATAAAAAAATAAAATTATCATATTAAATAGTTAACAAGTCGAGCTTAACATATGCTTAACATATAATGGCGTGTCTTTTATTAATAAGAATTAAATCATACGTTTATGAATTTTGAACAACTTATTCCAAAACATTAAGCTCTGATTATCACATATTATTTCAATTTGCATTTCTTAAAAAGAATTCTACACAATTATTTTCTAAAGTTTCCACAATGAAAATCATCATGCAAAAGTAGCAGCATAAATACTATTCAATATATCGTGTAGAAAATCGCTAAATATTTAAAATCTCATTAAAGACAATTACCGCAATAGTAATAAAATAAAAGATAAATAGATTACCTATCCAAAATATCACCATCCTCGTCTTCAATTGAAGATGACTCAGAATGCTCTATTTCTGCACTCAGTTCTTCCATATCATCGCTAAAGGTAAAAAATGTAATTATCACATTATATAGTTGCTTTAATTTTAATACATAACTTACCTGAACATATTTAATAGTAAAAGAAGTAATAAGCCATTTTTTGTGATGATTTAAGTATTTTTTTTTTTGCATTTTCCGTTTATGATCGTATAAACCTTTTATAATTACCTATCTCGCATAACAGCAAATTAATTTAATTTGCATAATTTAAAAGTATTTTACATGCATGTTTTTTACTAATTCCAATTTATGTAAATATGTATGCAAAAGTACAGTTCTGACGCGCAATTAAAAAAGAAACATCGTAAGTTATCTACGATAGATTTCCTTGATTTATTTTTCATTCTATTGCTAATTGTATGAACTCTTAAAAAAAATTAAAAAAACTAATAAATGCAATTTATTTTTGAAAAAAAAATTGCAATAAGTAGCATATTATACAAAAGTGCCAAATTCTAAAAAAAGAAAAAGAAAATTGAAATTTTTGTCACTTTAATTGTGTTTTTTTCCATGGTATTATTTTGTGTACTAATATACAACAAATATTGTTCAATATTTAAAGTAGTTTAAAATACAAATATTATGATGTCTTAAAGATAATAACTTTGAAAAGTACCTATCACTAGCGTCATCCTCATCCGAAGTCAAATGTGACTCCTCACAAACTATCTCACTCTCAACCGTCAGCATTTCGTAGCTGAAAAAAGAAATAAAATGATATACTTATAGACAGAATATTTAATTATCTCAAGATGGTCATCTTTCATCAGTTTTTTGCTCAACTCATATTTAAGAAATTATAAAGACTAGTTTAATGTCAAGTTAATATTTATGAAATAAATTTTGTCATAAACAACTTTTAACGTAGTTTTCATTCTCATATTAACATTTCATATCGATATTCACATTTGATACTTTCTTTCCATATTACATGTTCTAAGTACAAAATCTACGGTAATATTTTTTTTAAATAATTACATTTACTCTAAATTATTTAAATACGACAGTTTCTTTGCACTTCCTCTAAAGGATTTTTTTCTTTGTATTTCTTTCTTTCTTTCTTTCTTTTTTATTTATTTATTTGTTTTTTTTATCTATTTATGTCTCTTTAACTTTAAAAAATTACCATTTCTGCCTTAAAGAAATTATATTATTTCACAATCTAAATCAAATACTTACCCATCTGTTCCAGATGAACTACTACTGGTGTCCTCTGCAAGAAATCCAGGAGCTAAAAAAAATTATTAATTAAATTTTAATTCAGCTTATTTTTGACTATTTTAAATTTGGATAGCAAAAATGTAATAACTGGACAATCAACCACAAGTTGAATAATTGTAACCAAATTTTCAAGAATAATTGGAATAATAATAACTGAATAACGTAGCTCATTTTATGAAGAAGAAAAAAACTATTTAATATAGATCTATACAACATTGTCTATACTACATTTAAGAATTGTTGCTTTTAACTAATGTGTAATTGCTTGAAATTAAAAAGGAACCTAAAAAAAAGATTTGACTGAAATGCATAACAACGAAGTGATCTATCTGAATTTATCCAAAAGTAATGACTCTTTATGAAAATGCATACAACAACATTTTTTTTCCAAACCTCTTTTTGATGATTTTAATTTTATTTTAAAACTTCCGTTCCACATGGATAATAATTTAAATGTTTTGTTAATAAATACATTAGAAATACTAGTACTATTCCATTTCGGGGGCCTCAAAAATATCATTTAACTATTAGTAATACCAATNTTTTTTAACTTTTAAAAATTACCATTTTTTGTATAAAAAAATTATAATATTTCGCAATCTAAATCAAATACTTACCCATCTGGTTCAGATGAACTACTACTGCTGTTCTCTGCAAGAAATCCAGGCGCTGAAAAAAGATTATAAATTAAATTTTAATTTAGCTTATTTTTGACTGAAATTTGGGTAACAAAATGTTTTATGATTATTGAACGTGTGATAACTGGATAATCAACCCCAAGCTGAATAGCCAATACTCTTTTTTTAATGGTTACGATTTGATTGAAATATGAAGAAAGGTACATAATTAGGTGATAATTATTATAATTAAATGCGACAAAATGTCACTTTAAATTGTAATTGCTCATTGCTTTTAGGTATTTAATTTTATTAATGAAATAAAAATGTCTCTTTTAGCTTATAAGATTATGTATATAATTTTAAAAGTTTACAACTTTATTTTTCATTAAATAAATCATGATATGTTTTCTTTTTTAAAACAAATAACATTATTTCTACAATTCCGAATGAAATTCCGAATAAAATGACGGTACAAAGTATTGGTACTTTTGGTGCATTATTCGTAAGACACATGTTACACTAAAGCTCCTTTTTACCGTAAAATATTATGCCGTTATTTTTACAGTAATATTTATTTAATATAAATGATTCTTTATTTAATATAAATGATTCAGTAATCTTAAGGTAATAATTATTGCAAAAATATTTTGATCCTTGACATGTTCCGGAAAAATGGATTTTATGATAAAAAGTATTGTCAAGTTTGCCAAGTATTTTACACATGATGCACCCAAAGTGCCGGTACTTTTTACCTAAATTTGATCTGTAATGATTTACAGTGTAGTGCAACATATGTTGCAACTATAAAAACCTTTATAAAAGTGTATTATCATTTTAATTTCTAATAACGGAAAAATAAGTTGTAGCGTTAAAAAATTATTTTCTTTCTTCAGAATATGAAATAGTTTTAAAAAAGTTTCGAATTTCGGACCATTAAAAGGTAATAACATATTTATATTTATACAAGTAAAATAGCAGTCATTTCATACTTTTATTTTCTATTTCTATTTGAAGTTTTTAATTTTATTTTAATACTTCCGTTTGCTATTCGTGGAAGAATTTTTATATTTTAATTCAATTCAATTTCAAGGATTTTCAAACAAGATTGAATTAAAACATTTATGCAATGAATTAAATCACAAATTGAAGAAGTTAGGGATTGTCTCACACAAAACAATACTTCAAATATTAAGTATCGCCACTTCCTGCTTAGTTCCAAAAAGTCTTAGATTCAAATCAAGATTTTTTAATTTTTCAAAATTTATCTTTTACTAAAAATCTATGAAATTAATAGTTTTCATGCTTACGATAAGGCCTTGGATTTCTTATCAACTCTTTTTGCCAGTGATTAAGCACAGCAAAACGACAAAGTTCACTCATTTTCACAAATTATAAGTCACTTGTCAAAAAAGACGTTATTCACTTATAAAAGCTCAAATAAGAATGAGGAATTAATATTTTTTGTTACTTTGTTGGTGTGATCAACAATGGTCATTTTCGGCAACAATGTTTAAGAAGAACCATTAAAACAATATAAAAAGGAATAAAGATTTATTTAACTGTCTTAAGTATTGTTGTAAATGTTCTCATATTTAGTTGTCCTAAAGTTTTTTAAAACAATGAAAAAAGCACAACAAAGACTGAAAGGATCGGAACAGAAATTTAATATTTTGTGAGAATTCAAATGAAATTATATGCTTATGATATGAAAATGACATTGTATTGATTAATTTTTACTAAAATTGCAAATGAAATATATTGATATTGAGCTGAAATTTTTAATATCAAGCAAATCAGAATTACTGGTTTTTTTACATGAAGATTTTTATCTTTTTAAAATGAAAAAAAAATCAATTGAAAAAGTAAATTCACATTTCTAATTTATGGCAAAATTATTAAATCATTTATTTGTTATTTTTTTTTGTTCGTATTTGGTAATGATTTACAGAAAATTCGAGATTATATTTGTCACATTTAGTAAAAATAGAAAACTGAAAAGTAAATTTAACAGAAAACTATGTCTCACACCCTATGCTTAAGTAAAGATTTCTAATTTTTTGATCCATGGTGTGTAGCCTACTAGTTGCCAACAAATTATCTTATTTAGTATAATATAACAATTTAGAAACGATAAATAAAAAATTATTTTAAAGACAGTTATTTTCGATGATAACTTGAGTGCAAAATTCATTTTTGATATTTCTGAAGAATGTCTGCCTAATGTTTTCATTGAGACCATGGTTAATCTATATAGTTATTTATATAAAAATAGATGGTTAATATAGTAGACAAGCTATTTAATTTTGCCTTAACTGACGCAGATTTACTTCGTAAGACTATCTCAACAGTGTGGATTTATAAAAGCTGTTTTGAAACAAGTTAATGTAAGCAAAACAACAACTTAACTGCAATGACTTCTTGGTGTGACTAGTGACATAAAAAGTGCTTAACTATTAATTGCACTTATGCTACTTATTTAAGACGTATTTTTGTCTTTCAATTTTTCCTATAACATTGTTATCATACGACATCAAAATGTATTATGATTCTTAAGTCAGTTCAAATTTTTTGGATTTCTTGGACATTTTTGGAGTAAAAAAAAGTTAAGGAACCAAAAACGAATCTAATTTGGCAACGAACTTTATTTTCCACAGCAAAGAAAATTTCTACGTATAGGATTCGTATTAGCTAGATGATAGCCAAACACATACGAGTAATACGTGTAAACGCGTTACACCGTTTAACGCCGTAATCTTGTTTGGAAGTAATTTGCCCAAATGAAGATACTTATCTTATCAGCTTTTATATTGTAACGATTTCGTTACTTTGTTCAAATTGAACTAAAACTCTTATAAAAACAAGCAATCTTTCAATATCTTTTTCTGGGTAAATTTTATAT